GCACGCGTTGCTGCAGGATCTTTTTATATTTTGCATGCTCTGAGAGTAGCTTCCCAGAATTATTCAAATGATCCCGCTCAAGCGTCATCCAGTTTCAGGGCTGGTTGATTCGCTAGGTGGGAGTTGCTGCACACTGCTCAGCGGCTTCCGACTTCCATGGCCAACATCCCGCTCTCCGTATCAGCCAACGCTTTTCATGAGGTCACTTGGGCGGAAAGTTTGACTGCTTAACGCGACGCTTGGTTCATTCCCACAGCACCAGTTCTGCTTACTGAAAATGGCCTATTTGGAGGACGCATTCAGTGTTATTGCTTTAGATCATTTAAGGAAGCGAAACTTCATGCCCACTGAAAGTTTAATAGCTTTTAGTTAACTTCAGCTCAGCCATGAATACCCGCTGAATTTGGGCATATAACTAAGCGGAAGAAAAGAAACTAGCAAGGATTTCCCTAGTAACGGCGAGTGAACGGGAAAAATCTCAGCGCTAAATCCTTTTAGCTGTTGACTTTAAGGAGCTCTGGCTCACAGATGTATTAGAGAAAAAGTTTCTGTTATTTTTCGGTTTTCTAACTGTTTATTTTTTCAGGTGTAACGTCCCGCCATATTTTTTCCTAATAGTTATCACGAAGTGGTAGATTGTTGCATGACCATACAATTTTAGCTGGTGGGGTTGGCGTGGGGGCAAGTGGCATTGCTCGTTCTGGGGATTGAGAGTTTCACTTTCATTCGACAGTTAACCCCTCTATCATTCATTCATTGTGTCAGAGTTGCCATTTTTCCATAAATAACTCTTGACGGAGAAATGGCCGGTGTTCTTTCAGCATGAATTTGCCTACGACGCAGTTCAGGCAACTTTGGAGTAACTTCGCTTTCATAAATTTCCATTACCGAAGAGTTTTAACTTTTGATTGCTGAATGTGGTGTACGGTATGATTTATTTTCTTGTTACCTTGCTAATCGTTTTTTGGTATTTTTGTGGAACTGTTCCTGGTCAGGTTAATAATCTGGTACTTCAATGCAGGAAGCAATTAAGGAGCGCCGTGAAGCAAACGAGTAACGCGTGTATTTATCAAGTTTACGTTGTTCCTGAGACTATTTTGAAGTTGTATATCGTACTTGCGCAGCACAATGCTTACGAGTTACATGGCAACATCCTCGTTATCGCCAACACTCTTTCGTGTACGTCGAAAGCGAGCAGCCGATCCACATGAGGCACTGGTCATTTCGTTGAAGCGTGCAAAGCACACGCATGGCACGGTGGGAGTTGCATCTTGCGACGAACCACCGATTATTTGTCAGCGAACTCCTGCTTATGAAGTGCAGGCCAGTTTTCTTCTTCCCTGAAAAGATAGGAGAAACAAGCTCCATGTACTTTTCCATGCATATTGTGCTGTGTTTTTTATCATCATTGATGCGACTGGCAGCTTCTCCATTCTCCTTTTTTAGGCCCTTCTCGTCCGCGTCGATTTCAAAAAGCTGTTGTGTCACCTGATAATAGGCCTAAAGAGGTGCGGGAATTCAGTGGAAACGTCTGTTTTTCTTTTTCTTTTGTTCTGGGGGCTGAGACGAAACTCGGAATACAACCTTCCTTGAACACTGTAAATCAAGGGGAACAGCAACTGATCAAACTGGTTTAGTATGTGTGCTGCATTGACCAGTTTGCAGTGTACATTATTTCTGTA